CAACCGATAAGCACTTTGTGTAATCAGGTATTCCCAGTTCCAAATTTCCAGCAAAAGGGTTACCACACAGCTGCTCTGTTCTTGTAAAAAAAAAAAAAAAACAGAATGTCCATCACCGGCATTTGTGGGCGAAAACAAAACAGACACAAATTGTATCGGCAAAGCCAATACCATACACACGCATTAAATGCATTAGGCAGCCCCTCAGAGGTGCCATCACTAACAGACTGGCAAAAGAAATCGAAGTTATAACTAATCAGTTTGATGAATATACCGCATAGGGCAGCGCCAGTTTCTTAGGAACAGGCCATTCGCCATTATCTGAATCTGAATTCACAATATAAATCACGTTTGACTCAGTCGAAAAGCATTCTAAATAAAATCTGCAGCTCACAGTGTCGCACCATTCACTAAACTTAGTAGCTAGTCGACGAAACTATGCCATTTAAGCCCACATAAGGAGGAAAATGCAAGGGCTTTAATTGCCAGAAGCAAAACTCACCACATATAAATCAGCAAGTTAGCCTATTCAATAAATTGGACAGGACGTCTCTCAATAACTGTTATGGGTACGGCACATTCCGTAATCTGTCATTTCTTTGCGGCTTTTCCCCGTAACGTTTCTTTTTTCTTTTCTGAAAGCTTATGTTTATGCTTTTCTGTTGAAGATAATCAATACAGCAGTTGCCTCTGATTGTGAGAATCACAACACTTTAGCTGTTTTTCCTGGTCAGATGTGACGCAGATGATGTTTAAGATGCCTTTTCCTTCTAAAAATTAAGAAACCATAAAAATGAGAAAAAGGGAGGGGGGGGGGGGGGCTGACATCCCCCCCCCCCCACTACGACTACTACCTCACCACCTAGACACAAGGCAAAATATTAGTTGGGGGCGGGGGGGGGGGGGGGGTAGCTCAGCCCCCTTCAACCCCCACCCAGTAAATAAAGAAAATGTTTAGCATGCCCACCCCTCCCCCCGCACCCCCCTTTCCCCCATCCAATAATAATTGTGTAAGAGGGCTAACATGACTGACTGACTGACTGACTTTCTACTCCACCAGGACATCTCACAAGCGATAAACACCCGATGACACAAAGTGCCACCATGCGGATGAGGATTGCCGTGGAGAGGTCCCAGAAACCGCGTTCAGACATTTGGCCATATTTATGGCCTGCCTATATTGCGGCCCCCGGCAAAAGCCAGGGTGGAGCTTCAAATAAAAAAATTTCATCCTGAAAAGGACGATGGAGAATAATGTGTAAGGGCTAACATGTTCGAATGCGTCTGTTCACTAGGAGTTGCGAACGCTCTTCGCCACTTCCGAGTTGCCAGGTTGGATCCTAGCTGTAAAGAGCAAACACATTTCTTCTGTCGTCTTTGCGTTCACCAGCTGTAAACTATGGCGGAAAGTTCTGGTTGTTCCTTCACTTCTGGACTGCAGTCCTGTTCCAGAACCTAAGTGTTGCGTGTGCATCCGTTTTACAGACATGACTCATTTGTATGCAAACTGCTGGTTCCTTGCCTCTCAGGCAGATGCACTCCGACTTCTAAGGAAGCTCCCAATTAGTCGACTCTTACGACATGCTTTTGTGTAGGCAGTGTGTCTATCTTTATTTTCCCATATAGTAGGGTCCTGGAACCCACACGAGGAACACAAATTTCAAATGAAAACCTCGTCCCAGGATAGAACCCATTTTTTTTTTCTAATTTTAAAGCCCCTCGGAGCCCTAAAATAATCTAATGGTTGAACAGGGTTTCTGTGACCTGTACCTGGGTGATCCTCATCCGAGTAGTGGCACTTTGTGTCACCAGGTGTTGGTTGCTAGTTATGAGGTCCTGGTGGGGTTGAATGTCAGTCAGTCATTAAGATTAATTCTTATTTGTGTTTTCATTAATTATAATTCACTTAATGACAAAACATATAAAATATTTGAAATAATATAAAATATATAAATACTTTTAAAGAAAAAATCACAAGTTCTACAGCTGCATTCTTTAGTATTTAATTATTTAATGCATCAAACAATTCACTTTTTTGCCTTTTATGTTGTGTGCTTACATGTTATGTACATATTTCATTTTTCGCGTCGGTTGAGCTGGTAATACGTATCACATATTTTATGACCAAGGAGCCTTGGTAACGTGTTGGCTGGACGCTCACTTACTTCAAATTTGACGAGTGCAGTTTATAGAAAGATCATCCGGATCATCAACTGGGATATGGAGTTCGTGTTTTGTGAAACGCCCTTGGCCGTTGCCTAGCCGATCTAGTGCACAGAAGTCGCTCTAATGTTAAATTTATAAACCTGAACATGGACAGCTTATCTGGCCAGCGGATGAGCAAACGAGTAGTTTCTGGGGCAGCCATTTTTGTACGTTAGTGAATCAACGGTCGGGAACGTCGGGGACATATTGTAAGTCTTTTACATTCTGTCTTATTGTAAATCACCGAATGTTGAATAGTCAGTTTGAGCTGTAATGTAACTTTACTACTTATTGTCTTGTGTGATAGTGACAATGAGTTAACGATTTGTTGACCAAGCAGCTAACGGCCGTAAGCAGGTTCGTCCCCATTTCTAATTTCTTGGGCTTTTCATACTACCTGTTTCCGATAAAGCAGTATGAGATGTCTGTTAAGTGTTTTTGTTTTGTTTTTTTGGGAGACTTGAGTTTTAGTTTGCGTCTGCATTCATTAAGAACTTTGTTCTTCCCAGATGAAGTTCTGACTTTCCTTGCAATCACGGTCGCTAGTTGGACGGCGACAGTCGCTTAGTCGGAGTTCAGTCCCCTGGCTGCAGTGCAATTACGGAGTGGAAAAGAGGGAACGAAACAGATGACATAATTAGGGGTAGGGTTTGGGTTAGGGCAACACAATGTATCCTCGAGTACTTACCCAAAATGACGGCCCCTATATCTGATAATTTTGACACTAGCTACTTCAGTAAAATTTTAAAATGCCCTCTACACCAATAAAACCAGCACAGTTAGATAGCTGTAAACAATTTCTTTCCAATGGTACCTCATTTAGGCTTGTATGTCATTTCTGAGCTGATATGTAGGTTTTTGTGGAGATGAGATGTAAGTAGGTACTTCAGTCAAATTTTTAAAATGCCCTCTACACCAATAAAACCAGCACAGTTAGATAGCTGTAAACAATCTCTTTCCAATGGTACCTCATTTAGGCTTGTATGTCATTTCTGAGCTGAGATATGTAGGTTTTTGTGGAGATGAGATGTAAGAAACAGCCGCCAAAACTTGCGTCCCAGAAACAAGAAGTTTTTCACTGCGCAACCTACTGCGCAGTTCTGTATCGGCTTTGTTGACAATGGACTGTCATTGGACAAGATGGCAGGCAGTGAGACTCAGCTCACTCAGCCGCATGCGATTGCCTAAAAAATGTCACTGTAAATCTAAACAGCCAGAGTCGGGGAAAAAAATTTAATATGTCCGGCTGTCGTAGACATGCGCTGTTAATCACACCGAAACCACAGCCGACATTTCCGAAACAAGTTTTAAATGGTTTCTATGGTAACGGAAATTGTCGAAAAGATCGCAAATTTCCGAAACTGTAGTGCCTAATGTAAGAAACAGCCGCTAAAACTTGTGACCCAGAAACAAGAAGTTTTTTTCTGCGCAGTCTGCGCAACCTACTGCGCAGTTCTGTATCGGCTTTGTTTACATTGGACTGTCATTGGACAAGATGGCAGGCAATGAGACACAGCCACTGGCTGAGCCAGCGATTGCCTGAAAAATGTCACTGTACATCTACCTAGCCACCGTTCAGAAAGAAATTTTATACACAAATGTAAAATTGGACGGAGAATTCAATTATAACTAGCATTACCAGGACCGAGTAACAGTTAAAGCCTAAAGCCATCCTCGAATTTATCGCTATTTTCAATCAAACTGATGACTAACAGAAAAACAGAGGACGTCCGGCTGTCGTAGACATGCGCTGTTAATGGGGTTCCCTCCCTCTGTTTTCAGCTATTTATAGCTGGTCCAAATTCCCACCAATGGCAAAATTTCATGAGAGATTTGGACCCATCCGGAAACCAGCCGAGATTTTCCCGAAACAAGTTGCGAACAGGGGTAACGGAAATTGCCGAAAAGACAGCAAATTGTCGAAACTGTAGTCGCTATTGACAAAGGAGTTCCAAAAAATGGCCGAAAATGGTGCTGCTTGTGGCAGTGGCGCCATTGGAACTCTGCTAAATATGACGGCAATAGCGCCCGGCTAGTGCCTAATTTTGTGTTTCAGTAAATAGCTATGTTGAACTCAATTTGTTTTGTGATTCGTGCCTTGTCCACTCGGTAATTACACTGCAGCCAGGGGACTGAACTCCGACTAAGCGGCCGTCACCGTCCAAGTAGCGACCGTTATTGCAAGGAGAACCGAAGTTTTTTATCCATGTGAATTTCAAATTAGTTCAATGTTGAGCCATGTTAAAGTATTATTGTTCATATTTATATATTATTACACTCTTAAGTACTCGGCGCTCACACACTATTAAATTATAGTGAGAAAAGGGTGCTGCGATATATAAGTGACCAGGGGATCTGGGCAAACACTCAGCAATCGAAGAAAAGGTGTGATGGCTGTCCTCTCTTATTGGTACCATTGAATTGAAACTCGTGCAGATAGAAATGGAACACTTATGGAAATGTCCTGAGTGTGCTGTACTGTTGATTCTTTATTCAACATTTATTATACTCAGCTAGAAATAATGACATTAATGAGGATGTAATCAGACCACAGATCTAGCCCAGCATAGGCGAATAAATTAGTCTAGCTCTGTGGTATGCATTGTACACGAGTCCTCAAGGACTGAAAGCTGCAGATATCAAAGCATAAACTAAACAGAATGGCAAGCACCCATTCAAGGGCAGAGAACGAAAAAATACATACAGTTTATACAATACTGAATTAATAATATAATTGTAATGCTTTTTCTCTTGACCTGTTTCTGTTATCACAGGTTATTTCCTACAGGTGTGAAATGGAAAACTCTGAGGATCAAGTTACAACTGCAGGGGAAGAGATTGCAGGTATGGAGAAAGTCTTGATTGTTTTACAGCGAGCAGGCACAAAACAGAGCAGACGGACAGATTGTACTAGTGTAAAGATGTATCCAGCAGATGGTGCCCCACAAAGAGCCCTAAGACACAACAGAAGCAGCCCTAGAGGTCGACCATGCAAGTGATAGATTGATGGAATATCCCAGGCCACAAATACCAGAATTTGGGTATCATTTTATATGACAGAAACAATGCTCCAGCCACACATATAAGATTTTTTTTAACCTTTAAGCATAGCATTATCTAAAATTTGGTATCGGGTTTAACAAATAAACAGCTGTCTTCATTAGTTTTTGTTTTATGTTTAGTTAACTGTCGTCGAACAACTTACTCTGTTTTAGTGGGTCGTGGGTGTAAAAAAAATTGAATAACTCTACTGTAAAATATCTGCTAGCTAGTTTTATTCCAACCTGAGAATCATGACATGTTTTTGTTTGTTTGTTGCAGAGAATCAGACAGAAGACACAGAGGAAACAAGTACAGAAGCAGTAAACAATGAAGGGGTGGCAGAGTCTGGTCTTCTTGAAAGTGATGAACCCATGGAGGAGGGTGCACAACTGAATGATAGCTTGTTGGAAGAAACTGAGGCACAAAATAGTGCTGCTGAACATCCATCGGGAGAAGTTGAAGGGAATGAGGCAGTTCTAGAGGACACTATGGATGATGGAAAAGAGGGAGAGGAAAAGGAAGAAGATGAGGATAAAGAGGAGGAAATTAAACTGCCAGACACTGAGATGCCCCAGGTCAACGTAGCGTCACTGGCAAGTAAGTGAAATAACCTTTGTTTGTTTGCTAGGGAAGCTTGTTAGGGAGTACCCCTGATCCGTGGCAAAGTGGTCAGGCTGTTTGCCTTGTGCTCTAAAGGTTGTGGGTTCATTTCACCGCCGTACCATTTGATTCATGGGCGTTGTTTCTACGGAGACCCTAGGGTAAATCTTCACCAGACCTAGGGGAGTTTGTTCTTTTTTATGTTGCTCCTGGCAAGGAGCTAGCCATTTTATGAAGAGAAACTGGGCCATATAGGGTAACACCTGGTACAATGAGGTCGATCCTCGCACTTTTAACTGAAAAACAAGGCACATTGTTTCATCAGCTAATGTATAGAAATGTGTGGCTATTTTTAAGTATAATTTAAAAAAAAAATTTTTTGCTTACTTACTCGAGTGAACATGAACACATGGGATAAGGTTGTGGATTGACTGAAAAGAGCAGTTTACAAACAGTTGATGATTGTCTATGAGGCAGGCTCCCAATGTGGGTTCTGGGTCTCCCATGAAAGTTCTGTCTTCTGTGTGGGTTCTTGGTCTTCCTGGTAGGTTCTGGGCCTCCCGCTTGAAGATCTTGAATTTGAATCCAGATATGGCAGATTTTTATAATTGGCCTAAGGCTGCACACAGTAGATACCAGGGAATTTCAAGGGATGTGAACGCAGGAGGTGTAATATTAGGTTGAAAGATATCCATTTCTAACCCTTTACGACAACAATACATGCACAGTGCCCTTCTGATAGTGAACGTCTTGTATAGATTCTGGGACCTTATGGGGGGGGGGGGGGATAGGCCCACTTTTCCCCAACAAGCATGTCGTATAAGATGGCTGATTAGGAGTTTGCTGCAGATATCGCAACCTGGCAGTAAACCACAACACAATGTGCCAGCTGCCCTTTGTAGGGTAAACACAGTGTAATATGATAAGGGCAAACACAGAACACCATTACTATACTACACAATAAACTTATGTCTACTTGTTAGCTGTGTGAGACCAGTAATGTATCTGTAGGGTGTTTGTAAAGTCTGACTAGACTTCATATGCAAAACAAAATCAGTCACTGCTGTGGTCTAATGCTGTTTTTGGGAAAGCTGGAAGTACCAGTGAAATATTCATTATAACAGGTCTTGGAAATGTCCACAGCTTCATATTGTCAGATACCTTCTACAGCATGTCAGTTATTTTTTGAATGGTAATTCTGATTGCTTCTGTTGATAAAACCATTCTGTTTAAGTGCAAAGAATGAGTCCAGCAGATGAATGCCATTTTCTGCATATTGATTTGTGATTGACTGTAGAGCAGTGTTTTGAGGACATTATGCAGTTGGTTTTTCAGACTTATTCTACATACACTGTATAATGAGACTTTACAAACACCCTGTGTTATTGCTTCTTCTGATTGTCATTTTCTGCCAATACATTTGCAACTATGTATGTGTCTGATTTTGCAGAACGTAAATGGCAAGTGAAGATTTATCCGCTAAAGCCAGATGACTTTATCAATGGGCAGATTGCAAGAGTGTTTTCTAACGCCAAGGAAAGCCTGTTGTACATTTACAGCTCAGGAAAATTCAACGGAGGGTAAGTGCAAATATTTTTTTTTGGGGGGAGTTCAGAGGTCAAGTTAAATGTATCCCTTATTTAGAGAAATTCAACAGTGAATTACTTTACTTCAGGGAAACTCAATGTAGGAGTAGGTTGAGTTTATTTCTGATTCGAAAGAATTCAGTTCATTGTGGGTGACGTCTTCTTCTGTGTGTTCACCGGCTGTAAAATCTCGTGGAAAGTTTGTTGTTTGTCCATCTCTGTTCTTTGGTCTTGTTCCAGAACCTAAGTATTGTGTGCATTTTTATTTCACAGATCTGAAATATTTGTTTGCAGATTGTTGGTTCCTTGCCTCTTTGGCAGATGCACCCCAGCTTCAGAGGAAGGCCCCAATTAGTTGACTATTACAACATGTCTTATTGGAGAGGCAGAGGGTCTATTCTTTCCCCCACAGTAGGGCCCCACAACCTTCACAGAATGGAAGAAATATATCTTAAATTATGGGATATTCACCAGATGGGTAGTTAAGGTATATTTTAAGGCAGAGTAATTCGTTGATCACATTAAAATGTATCATTACTTCAAGGAAATGTTGTAGAATAAGGAAAACGCAGACTATATGTCAAATGTCTTTTTGAAAAAAAAAACATAGTTAATGGTTAAATGTATCCTGTTTTGAAGGAATCACATTAGAGAATGGTTCTAAATGATCTTGCTTATGTTGTTTGTGATACAGAAAAGGAGAGATGTATGTTTCTTCTGAAGTGCAGGCAGCCAAGGTGGTGCACAACCTGATGAAGCTGGACTTTAAGTCTCAGAATATCAACATTGAAATCATCAGGAAGAATAATGAAGGTGTCGTTGAAGAGAAAGGTGGGCTTGAATTATGTCCATATGTATTGTTTTACTGTGTTAGGCTAATCTTTGTTGCAGTATTTGTGAGAGTATCACATAATGAAAGATTAGTCAGAATCTAATCAGAAGATTAGCTGTGGAAGAGGCATTTAAAAATTAAGAACTACATTCTTCAAAAGTCATGAAGTTAGAAAATTGGGGCTTTTGAGCTAAAGTGCTATAGAAAGATTCTCAAAATACCATGAACACAGAAGAAAATAAAACATACTGACATACTAAAAGATCTGAACATCAAATAAGATTGTAATAAACAGCATCTTGTTTCTAAAGATGAAATGTTTTGGTCAATGTCAAGTGTTACAGCGGTTTGGACAAAAATAACAACAAAAGGTATGGTGCTGGGAGGGAGGGGCAGGGACTTATGTCACACAACTTGCGGAGAGTTTGAATGAAGAGTACTGAATTTCTCCCCCTTCTAAAAATTATATGTTAGTTTGTTTCAATTGTTTACATATTTAACACCGTTAAATAATTTCATATTTTTGGGAGTCATTGTAATGTCGATAAAGGTTTGTCTTTTTGTTTTGTTATAATATTTTTGAAGCTAGGTAAAGGGAACTATTTTGTGTGTGTGCACAAGTCTTGAATCTCTTATTAGGTGAGCTCAGCAGAGTATTCTAACTTAAAAACTAATGATTGAACATTTTGTTTTGTTGCAGCTTTCATGAGATTTGATACAAAGCTGATTAGGATTCTGTGCATCCCAGCGTTTAAGAACAGAAGGCTGGGTAAGGTGTTTGTGTCATTTACAACCAAGGGGAAATAACTAACTCCGAGGTGCATTGGGGAGGGGCTCAGCCACCTTCTAACTTTTGGGAGGCTGTTTTTTTTTATAGATGTTTTCTCTCTGTCACATTTGGGCACTGTGACCACATGTGAACCTGCTTAGCTGGCAGCACCCTGACAAGTCTCTGTCATTGTTGTTACATATCATTTTGATAGAACCTTCTATTCATGACTATAAAAGATTTATTCTCTTATTGTTGGTTTGTCTGTTATACATAGGCTTCTTTGATGTGGTTAGCCTGGGTTTATGCTTCTTCTTTGCAGTTGGTTGCATGTGTTTAGGCTGTCAGTTGTGTTGCCTGCATGGACCTGCATGTCAGCAACACGTCTCTAAGGGTTCCTCAACAGTTTCTTGACCATCTTTTTCCTCTGACCATATATTTAAAACCTGGCCTTCAGCTTTGTGACAGGCTGGGGTGATGTTGCCGTTACAGGCTGCAGTGTATCTGGGTCATCTTCTTCACTTCCTCTTTTACCGCTTCGGGTGTCAAGGGAAATATGAATTTCTGCTTCTGGCTTTTCTGGTCGCCGTGACAATAGACACATTCTGTTGTAGAATTTCTCTAACGTTTTCTTTCCATCTAGTTCTTGGTCTGCCTCATGATTTCATCTAGTTCCTCTTTGGGTAGTTCTGTACATGTGTAGATTGGACTCAGGTTGGGACAGCACAACGAATAGTCCTAACTTTTCACCCAAACGTTATGCTGTGGGCATTGTATTGTTTGGTCCCTCTGCTTTCCCACTAAATAGCCAAACTTTATTCTGTCTTTCAGGCAGTTTTATTCCAGCCCTGAGCAGGACATTTAAGCAGTAATTTAATACTTTCAGACTGACATGTGTAAGGGTATGCAGTTATTTTTAAATTTTCAGAAGAACGGTTGTTGAATCAGTAAATTCTAAAATATATAGGATTTTTCTTTTAGGGAACAGTAAGTAGAATTCTCTGTTTGATCTTTGCGCCAGTGACTTCACAACTAGCAAGATTAAAATTAGTAGATGAGACATTTTTTCCTGAAAACATGTGATGTTAAAAAACAGACAGGCTTCTGGGGCCGGCTATTGTTATATGGTGACATTCTTAAATTTGTTTGTTTGAATGCGGTCAGCATTGAATCACATGGAGATTCTCCCCCATCCGCAAACCTCTTCTGTTACCAATTGAAAGGAAGACATTATCTTTGGTCTAATGCCCAGATATCACCTGACTGGGGCAAGAATTCTGGGAAAATTAGTACCAAATTAACCTGCCGAGGTTTGTAATAATAATTTTAAAAAATTTGAGGGAAATGCAAAACTTTTCTTGCCAGTCGCCTTATCCGCCAAAGATGTTTTAGTATTTCTTCTCAGAAAAAAACATTTTAAGGATTGTAAAAAAAATATGACAACAGTCATAGTCTTGTTTATTTATTCAGATTATTTGAATCCTCTCTTTTAGCACACGTGTGGTTTGTTGTTCAGGAGAACTTGGTTTAACCTCATCATTTAGGAGATAATCCTTAAGAGGCAGTTGTTTTCAGAGGCTGCGTGTGTCGGAGGTACCAAAGCTGGTTGTTTTCTTCTTGGGAAGCAAGACAACAGAGTATGGATTTATGATGTCAGCAGAGTGTTGATGATTGTTAACCCACCCAGACTTCCTAACTGCTTGGTGCCCCAAAGTAACTGCTGTATGTTGAATTTAGTTCCCGTGATTTTTAGCACTTTCTCATCCTTGAGATGTTAATCCTGCAGACTGCACAGTGGAGAGGAAATGCTTTAAGCTAAATTATTGTCAGCAGAGCTTTGATGCTTGCCAGCAGAGAATTGATGATTATCCACTAAGCTTGATGCTTACTCTAAACATCCACAAGTATTTTTTTCTGAGTACTTGACCATCTCAGAGCAGTTTGTTGCTTGCTTCGCCGCAACATATTGCTGAAATGTCATCGTAAGGATGTATCATGATTTCATTGGGTAGGAATACAAAAAATATTACAGCCCATTTACTTCTTCCCTGGTATGATACATGCTAAAACATGAGCGCAAGAGAGTAATCCGTGAGAAACAGGGTGTCCAGTGAAAGGCATAGTATGTTCTGTGAGGAACAGTAAGTGTGCCATGAAGAACACAAGTAAGTGCCCCTTGAAGGACCCACAGTGTCATGTGAAGGGTTTTGTGAAATAAGACAATTCCAAGCTCCACTAGCCTACCAAAATTTGAAGGTTTGAATATAAAATGTGATAGTTTTGCAGAGTTGATTGACCAGATGTGTGTCTTGCAACATGTGCTCTGAAAGCCATCAACTTTTCCCACTTTTGATCAATCATTGAACGTCAGTGTCCATTAAGCTGCTGCTTTGATCATTTAGCTATCATTACAGAGCTGTTTTATAGGAATAAGCATTACAGTCTGTGTAATGGGGCGGTGTCAACATCATCATCAATACTACCTGACAGTGCTGGCAAAGATCTAGGGATTCTGTACCGTCTAGATTGACCTATCTATCTGACACGTTAGTAAGACCTGTATTATAGGTCCTTTATCTGCAGACACTGTTCCCTGCCCTCATTGTTCTAGATCCTTCCGGGCTCCTATTGGGCTTGTAAGTCACCTACGGGCTCACGGTCAGCTATAGTTTACAGGTGAATGACAGAAAGAGTGGACGAACAACATCAGTTTGACCAGTTATCAGACATCTGCAGTATCTCACTGAAATACTGTTGGGATTGGGAACAACTTTTGAGTTCTGAGATGAGAGCAACGAACAAACAAACTTTATAGTTTTAAAAGGTCACAAATTTGGCATGAAGGCCTATCTTAAATTGGGTCCCTCCATTCTCGTCTTTCACACAGCCCTTTAACATTTGATGACAGATGTACATGTGGCATTCAATGACACAGATTTGAATGTGGCATTTGACGACATAGACATGAACATGGCACAGACATTGACTTATGCAGTCACGTTATTGCACACAAGTTTTTCTTAGAGATAACTGATGATTTGATGATGAACACAGTGAATGGTGTATTTCATGCTGAAATAATTTAGGATGCTGTAGATTTGTAAATCTCAATTTTACCCAGATGTGCACAGCACTTTGGTTGTTGAAAAGGATGTTGCAGGTGTGAATGCACTGGGCTTTGCGGAACATTGGTTGAAAGTAGAAACACTTGCCTGATTGTGGTCCGTTCTTGTTGAGGCTTGGCAGAATACACTTTGGGGATCCTGGGACATAATAAGTTGGTCTGGAACCAGTGCAGCTGCTGCATAGTTGCAGTATGCCGTGCTCCGTAGCATTGGGTCCATTCCTGGGGGTCGAGTCCTTATTTCTTGCCATCACCCGGAGGGCTGATTTGTAATCTTCCCAAGCCTCAATACAAACTTGTGTGCAATTTGACTTTGTTTCTTCACCTAGGCGGTAGACGAGATCGGGTAGTTGGATCAGTTTTTCTGAAAAATCTGCCAAATGGCACCAGTAAGGACATGCTCCGAGTCATGTTTCCTTTTGCTCCAGAAATAAATTACAGCCCTGACAAATTTCCTGACGGGTAAGTTCTCGTATGTATTCTCCCGCACAATGTTTTTTGAGGCTTGACCACATTTGTCAGCTAGAGATTCCATGTTCCAGAAGGGTTGAGCTGGGGCAAAGAGCGGCCTGATAGACACGGATATGTGACTGGGTTTGCTATCAGATTTAATAGCCCCTGTCTCTGGCATGAAGCTTGGAGCCATACAAGGCAGAGAGTCATGACATAGGTGGTGGGCTGAAGTAGTTCTCTGCTTGCAAGTTTGACGCATCTATGTTAATGGGGAGCCACTTCTTGCCAGCTGGGCACAACACCACGGAATAGAGGTCTACCAGCTGGTCTTGATTGTAGTGCTACTTGATGCAGTCATCCGTGTTGGAGTTTATGCCAGCTAATTGATGTGTCACCTCTAATGGTGTGTGCCTCCGCTATCTTGATTCATCACCTTTGATGGAGTCTGCTTGCTTGCGTTACCCTTGATGTGGTCAGTTTGTAAGTGTGGGACAACACTGCCGGTGGGAAAACCTGTCTGTTCACCAAATACGTGACATGTGAAACTTGTTTTTTACAAGTACCTTGCAAAATCAAACATTGATCAACGTGAAGATTGTTTGCATGTAGTTGTCCCTCTACAAAACAATCTTCACCGATAACAAGTTTACTTATGGAGTGCAGTTTTGCTTTAAAAGATTTTTGTTTTGTTTTTTTAATGGAAGAGCTTCTCTGGCAATTAAGGTAAGTATTGCAGTGGCGACCATCCATGTACCTAAAATTATGCTAGGCGCTGCTGCAATAGTCATGTCTGTGTGATTGTGTGAGAGTATCTCTTGTATGGAATTGCCCCATGTTGGCTCCTGACACTGTTTGTGCGATTTGAGTGTGGAACATCCCCCCCCCCTTCCAAACAGGCATACCATAAAATGCGACTAAAAGGTTTTGCTGAGATTGGATGTGTTGTCCCAAAAGGCGCAGATATCGCAGCCTATCTGTAAACCAAAACACATGTTTTAAGCTCAAACACAGGACAGAAAGAAGTAAGGAATTAATAGTTAGCGTTAGTGAGTCATAGATTCACTCAGGTCAGTGAGTCCTCCTCCAAGAATTGAACCCAGTCTAGTTGTGGATAAAGACAAATATTACTACTACAAGACCTTAGTGAAAGAAAATGACCAAAAAATAGCATAGCATTTCTGAAACTGAAAATAAGGAAACTTTAGAGTGCCTTCTGTAGATTCTGGGGCCCATTTAACACACGTACTTTTAAAAATTGAGTTTTACTGAAATCAGATGTGTTGGACCAAAAAGCACAGATGTTACAGCTCAGCTGTAAACCACAATGTGTCAGCCACCCTTTTAAGGGCAAATGCAGAAGCAGAAACATGACTGGTTGAGAGAGATTAAGCACAGTTGCTTGAGGTTATTTCTTAACCCCTAGAGGCAGGGGTGGACCAGTATAAAGATGTGCACAGGACACTGGAGATGACAATACATGTGGCATGACTTGTTTTCCAAGCCTGTGGTGGCCTATAGACTAAAAGGCTCTTCTAGCCCCAAATGTGCACTTTATGTGAGATGCGCTCAGTGTCCTGTTGTGAGAACTTGATAATGACTGGCTAGATTGATGGGGAAAGAACAAGAGAAGGCAGAGGGATAAATGCTTGAATTTCTTAGCTGTACAGTTGGGACAAGACAAGGACACCTACCTGATCTGCGATTCTAGTGATCATTTGAGTTGGCAAAATATAACAGCCTACACTTATGCTGGCCGTCTTTGACTTTTCACATCATCTATGAGGGCACTTGGGTTGTGTGCTGGGGGCCAGCACAAAGTTCGCATCATCTGTGAGGGCACATGGGTTGGGGGCAGCACAAAGTTCGCATCATCTGTGAGGGCACGTGGGTTGGGGGCCAGCACAAAGTTCGCATCATCTGTGAGGGCACATGGGTTGGGGGCCAGCACAAAGTTTGCATCATCTATGAGGGCACATGGGTTGTGTGTTGGGATTCTGATAGATGACTGCCTGGCTGGAAGAAAGAAGTGCTAGCCGTTGCCTGCATCGTGGTTGAATCCGAATGTGGGTTCTAAAATCCTTTTCTCCGGGAACAAGAAAAGACCTACTGTAATAAGCAGTCGAAAAAATTAATTAATGGTTGTTTCATTCAAAGTCGGGGTGTATTTGACTGAAAGGTAAGGAACCAGCAGTCTGCATACAAATAAGCCATATCTGTATAACTGATGTGCATGCAAAACCTGGGCAGTCTTGGAACAAGACTTGAGTCAAAAAATGGACGAGCAGCTATAACTTTCCGCCAGTGTTTACAGCCAGTGAATGCGAAGAAGAAGAATTAGTTGCAGGGTTGATGTGTCTGATGTGTTTGATTGTCTGCCATGCAGCACTGCACGACTGGTCCTGGGCGCCAGAAGTTCTGTGGGGCCTTGCTTGAGAGGATTCACTAAACTGGAACTGGGAGACACGCTTCTGGAGCTAAAACCCCTTCAGAGTGAGTATTGTTGTTGTTGTTAACTGCAGTGATGTGACTACAACCCGGTAGTAAACTGACTGACTTTTGTCATATCACGCTTGCTACTGTTATCCAGAGCTAGATAAAATGATAACATTGGACATAAAACTGTCAGATGTTTTGTGTATTCATGGTGCAGTAAGCTTGACAGTAAACCAGGAACCATACTATCGGGTCTCTGGAGATGTGCACATATAAAAAGAATAGGTTGCATTTTATGGAGACTAAAAATTAAATCAGAGGTTCTGAAAGGATAGGAAATGAAAATTGTTGCTGAACACAGTTAAAAAAAAACCAAAAGAGACCAGTTATTTTGGCCCTATAAAGAGATAGCAGTCAATTGGAAAAGAGATGGATAAAGGAAATGGAGACGTGCAAGAGAATCATGAGAGGGATGTTGATAAGAGTGCTTGGGTTCTATTGGTGAATCACTGATATTGAAAAATGTTGACAAAATAGAATAGAGTTGAAGAATCACCGGCTAACATTGTCTTGCAAAAAACAACATAGAAGGTGGGTGATGTTGAGATGGATGATAATGAGGAGGATGAAACTAAATCATCTGTGTGGTAACAGTTGTGTTGTAGCAACAATATCTAGAGAATCTTTTTCTGTCAACATTGAGGTAACATTCTTATTATTTTGTTGGTAGAGAGAGCAGCAGAGGATGAAAAGAAGAAAGATGCTGGAGAAACAGATGGCACCAAGAAAGCTGAAGGCAGCGAGGAAGCCGGCAGCCAGCCTGAGGCCGACGATAAAGCTGTGGACGGCAAAACAGATGAGAAATCTTCCGCTGAAAAAACAAGTGGTAAATCTCCTGCAAAGAGTCCAGCTGCCAGCAAGGCTGCAGATGGCAAAGAGGTGTGTATGCACACAAATCCTGTTTGTTTTGAGCAGGTTTATGTTTGTAACCGTCTTCAGTGGTAATGAGTGATGTTCTCTTCTACCTTGGGGTTCAGAGGTTTGCCAGAGAGATCACCAGACTTCTCTATCGGCAGTTTTTTTTTTTTCTAGACTTCTCTATTAGTTTTTTGTGTGTGGCTTTGTTCCATTCCAATCCTCTGTCTATCAGGAACTGTTGGATGTTGTCTTCCCATGGGACTCTGGGTCGCCCTGTTGATCTGGTTCCTTGGTGCTTAGCCTCCCATGCCTGCCAATGTGGCCGATTTTCTCCTATTTTGTATACATGACCAAACCATCTAAACTGATTGATCCACTTGAGTTTGTAAGGCCTGGGTTTCAAGATCTTGATGTATTGTCTGGTTGCATACTTTGTCCCTTCTGTTATCACTGGAAGTATCAGTGGAAAAAGAGACAGGAAGACAACATAAAACGGTTCTTGACTGCCTTTTCTCTGACACAGAGGGGGTGGCAGCACATGGAGCAGTGATACATGCTGTTGGTGATTTTGGAGAGGCACAAAGACACACGCCAGTTGGCAAGGCACTTGATTATCTGAAATTATTATTTTTTTTTTCTTTCACCGGCTGTAAACTGGCAGATATTCCTAGTTGTTCGTCCGCATCTGGATTTTTGGTTCTTTGCCTCTCTCATGTGTGGACTGTTGGTTCTTTGCTTCTCTCATGTGTGGGCTGTTGGTTCTTTGCCCCATGTGTGGACTGTTGGTTCTTTGCCTCTCTCATGTGTGGACTGTTGGTTCTTTGCCTCTCTCATGTGTGGACTGTTGGTTCTTTGCCTCTCTCATGTGTGGACTGTTGGTTCTTTGCCTCTCAGACACACTCTGACTTTGAAGGAAACATTGGTCTTATCTATGTTGGCCAGGTTCCTGATTGGAAACCTGTTTCTAGGATGGCGGCGGAGAGATGTAGATATTTCATGACCTGTGTGAGCCCTTCAATTTTTTGTTTGTTGAATATGTAAATACACTAAATAATTTTTATTAGTGCCCTGTGTATTGTGAAGGATTTTTTGCCAGAATTTCCATGAGGTTCCCCCCCTCCCCCCCCCCTTTCCCTTCTTTTTCTTGTGTTTGTTTAACACGAGGATTAACCTGTGGTTTTGCTAGTAGACTGAACTATTGTGTCGTGACATTATGTTTGTCTGAAAATGAAATGCTTAGAAAGCTCTGGCTAATGGTATGCTCTAGTGGAAGAATTTGGTGTAATGTTGAATGTCTAGCTCCACAATTTTTTCTGACAGACGGCTAATAAGGACTGCAGAAATTGGATATGCTGGGTCAGAAAAGTGCAGATATTGCAATTTCGCTGAAACCACAGCACAGTGTGCAGAATGTGTGTATGAAGTTGTTTGATATATCTATCTAAATATATATATATATATATATATATATATATATATATATATATAGGTAAAATCAAATTTTTTTTGTTTACTTGTGTGTTTGGCCACAGAAAAAACCTGGTGTTGGAAATAAAACCCCACAAAGTCTGGGTGCCAACAAAAACAGAAACCCTAGAGATAATCGCAGAGATACTGGTGCCCGCAGGGGGACATACAGACCTCGTAGAGGGAACTTTGCTCAGAGAGGAGGAGACAGGAATAGATTTAGAACCGGTGGATTTGGCAGCCGTTTCCGACCTGAAGATCGGAGAATGCGGATGCCAGGAGCTGGACGTGAGTATTGCTCTATCAGCTCATTTAAATTAAAAAGTTGTAGTGATGTGTTCTGTTGGAGAAATTAAGGACATCCTCTTTGGTGAATTACAGATAGGTGAAAATGTTGAGGTCTGCCTCTACTAAATTATAAAGATAAGTACATGAATGATTAAGGTATTGAGATTGTGTGCTGTATGGAGGGGAAATCAGGAAGGGAATAGGAATACGGGAGTAACATCTGCCGATATATAGCAGCTGAGCGTTGGAGAAGAAGCACATTGAATATATGCAGTAGTCCTAATATCTCATGCACTAATTGTGGGAGAAATTCCTTAAAGCAGGCAAGTTTGAGAGCAGTATAAAGATCTCCGGGATCTTTTTCCCTTCTCAGGACTAAGGTAGTGCAGTACAGTTGATCCCTTAGTCTTCACCAGCTGTAAACTCAATGTTTCCCAGTGGTTGACCTATCAGTAGTATGTAAACAGAAAGACATGGTTGTGATGTACCCTAATTTGAAGGAAACGTCTGTAATTTTTGAAGATTTTAGTAGATTTCTTTTCCTTCCTTCTCAGGAGCAATTTAGTGCAGAACAGTTGATCCCCATCCCTTTAAACCTGTATATTTTTTCCTCTGCCTGTACTTCTTAGTGTTCCCTGGCTGTAAACTATGGTGGAAACATCTGGTTGTTCGCCAACGTCTGGACTTTGGTTATGTCTAGGACTTTGGCATGCACATCTGTTTTACAGATCCTCCTTATTTATAATGTTTGCAGGCTGTTGGTTCCTTACCTGTTAGGCAGATGAGTCCGACTTTAAAGGAAAAACCTCTTAGTCGTTTTCTGCAACATTTTTTTTAGGGAGCTAGTGGGTCTGTTCATTTTTTATACAAATGGGCCCCTGGACTCCCGAAACCCACACAAGGAAATCCTTTAGGTATGAATGTGTGTTAGTTTATAGCAGTTATTTAAAATGGTCCACAATCTGGACACTTCTCACCAGCAGGTGATGCCGGCATCAACACCGGAGCTGCCAAGGAGATGATGCTTCTGCAGAGCCAGCTGAGTGTGGCCATCAAGAACCAGCTGTCCATGCTCAACCAGACACAGTTTGCACTGGAGCAGGCCAAACGAGAGGCTGCTACAGTCAGTTTCTCCAGGGATGTCGCACAGGCAAGCCCCTCAAGTATGTATCTTCTACTTCTCTGTGTTAAACCTTTAAAGGGTGGTTGGCAGTCTTGTGTTTGTAGCTAGACTTTTGGCCTAAGACATCAGATTTTAGCAAGCACTAATTAATGTTTATCTTTAACCCTTCCGCTGCTACGTTCCCGGCCGTAGCTGTCTGCCCTGTGATAAGCAATGTGGGGAAAAAAGTCTCTGCTGTGTGCAATACTTTTCTATCCTCCAAACGCAAAAGATGCGTCGGCGGTGAGAGCTATATTTTGTACACCCAAAAAATTTTACCCTGGGGAGTTGTGTGGTTGGCCTGAGTGGTGACAAGTCAGAGGCACGGTGGTGCCCCACAAACTTGACTATCAAAGCTATCACACCCCCTAGGGGTGGTGGTGGGGGGAGAGTGTTGAATTAATGGGAAGAACTGTTCCCAGTCCGTATCCCAAAATTTTATTGACGAACCTACCACGGCTCCCACTTTAATTATAGTTATTTGTAGTCACCATGTTATTATATAACCCCCCCCCCCCCCCCCCCCAAAAAAAAAAAATTTATTAATAATACTTGAGTCATCTGTTGCTGAAAAGTAGCAGGAACAGAAAGGAAAATTACAGTAATAATAATAATAAAAAAAAACCCACTTAAGTTGGGGGGGTTGAACACACGGCCCTCCGATTCCAAAGCGGACGTGGTACCAACTACACTAGACTACCGCTTGATGCATCGTGCTGTGTGAATGATGATAATGAATGGTGTGCGCAGACTATCAATAATATGTCTAATTTTGTAGTCTATCGCCACCTGCATGAGCACTGTTGTCTAAGAAATGTAACATTCTCAACAATAGTAAAAATCTGTACATGACATTATTTCATGGGAGTTTATAGCAAACAGTTTTTGCTCAAGTACTTTATTTTGAGTTTCTTTGTTCTAAGCATTAGCAGACAGACAGCAATAAAAAAAAAAACGTTCGGCAGAATCTGTGTCTGTCCATCGGGAAAAACGAGAATTTATAGTGACTGAACTGTTTGAATTTACAGTAGCAGAAATACAGACAGAGCTGGAGTCATCAAAATTATGCACTACTGGTATCAAATTATCGGTTGACCAAGATAACTGATCAGTTTATTGCCGTTTTGATGGCACTTTATTGTCGCTGCTTTCTTATTCTGATGATGAGGACGTCGGACAGGCAAACAGCTTTTTCTTGGACACGCCGGTTTCAGCAGTCGATATTGATGGCCTAGTCAAATCTTCTTGTTCACTGTCAGAAGTACACATTTCAAAGTCATCTTCGCTGTCACTTCAGAAACTCCAATTCTTCATCAACTTCAAAGTGTTCTTGCCATTTAGTACTATCAAAGTGTAGAATAATCCAAACCCACAAATATATATCAGGGCACAAAATACACAGATCACCGACCACGCTGTCACTAAACAAAGCAACGGGATAACGCGGAATGCAGTAAACACACCTTAAAAACACATAAATGCACGTGCCAGTGCTTTTAATCGTATGTAAATGGGTCAGTTGAATCTCAATATAGCTAATGTATATTGCCCTTTCGCCGTGAGACAAGAGGTCACATAAATCTGTAAGGAAAGTCCAAAAACGGGTTGGTACGTCCTAGGTGCTTTCGGCATAAAATGACTTTGTGATTTGGCTGTGTACAACAATGTCCCAGCAACTTCCAGACATCTACCAAAAGAAAATGTTTGGTTCCAAAGACATGTTCTGAAGCTACAGAAGACACACAACTACAGCCTGTGACAACTGGAAATGCAGATGATCTCAAATGTGAACCTTGCCCTATTTTTCAGCCATTTTCAGTTACAATACTGCAGCCTCTGCAGATGTAAATATGATAAATAAGTTCACTGTATTTTGGGGTGGGGGGGTGGGGGGTGGGTCAGCCTCAGGTGTGTTGTGAAAGGTGGATGATTAATTTAAATTGTAGTTTCTGATGTGTTTCTGTCCTGGAACATGTTTGCAGGCTTGATGAGTAGACGGGTGTCAAGCACACCACGCACCGAGCAGCAGGCCAGGGGCGGACAGGTGAAGACAAATAACCGCAGACAGCAGCATAGACGAGGAAAGCCTAGGGATCGAAGAACAGAAGGGGGACGTTTTGGTGAAGGGGCTAGATTTGGTGAGTTTATTTGTGTGGATTTATATATTGAACATTGTATTCTTTCTAGTGTTCACCTGCTGTAAACTCCAGGGCTCAGTTATAGTTGTTCATTCACTTGTGGTTTTGTCCCAGAACTTGAGTTTAGCATGCATATCTGTTTTACAGACCTGGTTTATTTGTATGCAGACAATTGGTTACTTGCTTCTGGGACAGGTTTCACTTCGACTTGAAGACAACCACCCCTAGTTAGTAGCCTTGTACAACATGCTTGTGTGTGTCCCTGTGTCCAGATTTGGTGGTTTGGGGGAGGGCGGGATAACAAACCTGCTGTCCCTTAACTGGTTCCATCCAAAGGAATGCACTGTGTGACTGGATATTGTTCATGTGTACCACTCACTCAGTTTCTTTGTTGTATATTTTAGGTTTTGATTCTTGAATCTAAAAAAAAAAAAACGAAAATAATGTCCACAGATAAAACTGGCTGTCACCCACAAATAACACATGATGAGGAAATTAAAAATGTCACAAACTTTTGAATATCTAGGCTCTGTAATAAATAGCTGGGGACTGGTCGACAGAAGACAAAAGGAGGATGGTCATGGCAATACAAATATTCAACAGTGTTTAAAAATCTGTGGTTAAGCACCAGCAAGGAGATAAAAAAATTAAAATTTTGAGATCATGCATCTTCTCTGTATCAACATCGATGTGTCATGGACTGACTCCGTCCGTAAGAAAGAAAATAGGGGCTTTTGAGCTGAAATGCTGTAGAAAGATTTTCAGAATATCACGGACAGAGAAGAGGAGAAATACTGACATTTTAAAAGTTTATGAACATCAAGGAATATTGGCCAATAAACAGCATCTTAGCCCGGAAGCTGAAATGTTTTGGTCATATCATGTGCCATGGTGGATTGGAAAGAATAATAGCAGAGGGCATGGTAGCAGGAAGGAGGGACAGGGGTCAACCAACATGAAGATAGGCTCAGGATACGACTCCTTGAATGTGAAAGTGCATGAGGCAGGAGACCAAGTTTCTTTCAGTTGACAGTGTTGGAACACATGCTCAGCATTTTCAGGTGTTTCGCATCCCCTACACCAGTGGGTCCGATTTAGATCAGGCCTCAGGTACATATCTCTGTGTTTCCTACACAAGAAAGTTTGAACATATGTTGACGGAGTTTGTTGTGCCCGGTCCTTAGTCTGAATATAATACACTGTGCATCTCTAGAGAGGCCATAAAGTGAATCTTGAAAAGAGAATCTGGTGTGTATCCAGCCACTTCTTGGATACTAGATAGTGTTAACATCTTAGTCTCTTGGTGGGTAAGTCACTGTTTGGTTGTACCATGTCACTGCTTGCTTCTAGCCTTCCAAGCAGCAGACCGTGATGAGACTGATCTCTCTGCTACATGATGGTATTTTAGGTTCAGTAAAGGATTCTTTCAAGAAAAATGTTTCCTTCAAAGATCAGGTTTATGGGCCCCTATGGTAGTAGTATACCTATGAGTATAGTTCATCATTCTTGCTCTTTCATATATAAGCTAGGACCTTTCGCGGCTGAAAGAGTTAACAAGCATTTTGTAACAGGCAATTAATTAAGGTTTTGCTCAAATCAGATGTGTTGGGTTGAAAGGCTATCACAGGCCAGCTGTAAACCACTTCTAAGGGCAAATGCTGGTGAGAAAAGAATGTCTGTCTGTACAGAGAAGGTCACTCAGAACTGTGCTGCCACAAGAGCTTTAAAAATAAAGGTCCATTTTCCTCGCCTTTAGGCGTAATTGCATATAGGGCTAGATATATATTTTATAGACCAGTGGACACTTGGTGGGTGTTGTGGTCAGTTTAGGACAGCCGCATTTACTTACCAGAACTGCACCTGGTAGCCGCTAACGAAACCTGGCTCCATCAGGACCTGAACCTATGATTCCGATCTGCAGGCGAGTGTCTAACCGTCATACCTCGGCGGCTCCCACAAGAGCTCTTTAATTACATGGTTATTAGTATAAGTATTGTTTTGTTTCACAGGAGGAGGAGGAGATTACAGCTACAAACGGAATGCAGAAATGGCCGGTCTGCCTGAAGAGTATGGGGCTACTGGTCAGGGCAAGAGGCGAACATCTGGCTTCGGAGAACACAGTGAAAGCCACAGTTGGGCGGACGACCGAGCTGCTCCAGCTTTTGGTAGTTCTTATCCACCAGCGTTTGGATATGAGCGAGAGTTTGAGGAAAGGGAAGCTGACTTTCACAGTCTGCACGCAGGGTGAGTTGGACTTAGTTATTATTCAGTCTGTAGAGAAAGCATGATGATAAGGTAGCAGAATAACTTCAAAGCTGGGGCTTACTAAACAGACATTTTGTGCCTTCTCTCCCAATGAAGGTTGGTTACAGCGCACCCCATCCTCTACCAGATTTTAACTGTGTGCAAGTGGGACATGATTAAAACATGTATTAAGGTAGAATCAGGGAAACAGTGCCAGGAACTAGCCTGATCAGGAAGGGAATGAGAGTCAAAGACGAAATGACCAGAGCTGAGCATCAGAGAAGAAAAACTAAATACAGATGATTGCAACAATGGTCCTGAAATCTGATGCTGTATTTTGGAATACAAGAACAGTGAACCGTCCACAGCTGTAGTCAGACCCTGGTGTTTGAGCTCGACATTGTTAAACATATATTTACTAATCTCTAAGCCACAGAGCTTAGAAAGGGTTGTGCAGATGTTTCTCATCCCCTGCACCTTTGGGTCCCATTTAGATCAGATGTTTCTCACTCCCTGCACCAGTGGGTCTCATTTAGATCAGATGTTTCTCACTCCCTGCACCAGTGGGTCCCATTTAGATCAGATGTTTCTCACTCCCTGCACCAGTGGGTCTCATTTAGATCAGATGTTTTTCATCCCCTACACCAGCGGGTCTGGGTCAGATCAGATGTTTCTCATCTGCTGCACCAGTGGGTTTCATTTAGTTCAGATGTTTCTCATTCCCTGCACCAGTGGGTCCCAGTTAGATCAGATGTTTCTCACTCCCTGCACCAGTGGGTCCCAGTTAGATCAGATGTTTATCATCCGCTGCACCTGTGGGTCTCAGTTAGATCAGATGTTTCTCATTCCCTGCGCCAGTGGGTCCCAGTTAGATTAGATGTGTAGACCCTCATTTTGTTTAAGGTCTGCCAAAGACCCCATAGTTTTTTATACATAAAGAGGAATATAATGTTTTTTTTTGTAATCAGTCCCAAGTTTGGTCTTTTTGTGTGTAAACATGATAGACCTCATAAATTGATTGCAAGCAAATGGAACATGCTGCCCTGAAGAACAAGAGTGAGAAAAATGGTGTTATGGAGAAATACTTCCAGTGGACCTGCTGACGGTAGAGGTTTGGTAACAGCCAAGAATGTGGCAGGGTGACCAAACCTCCACAGCAGTCAGCTACATCTTATTGTCAAAGATAGAAGTAACCACCTGCAGGCACTCTGATCAGAAATATAGCGTGGACTGCTGCCCAAGTTATTCAGGTATGCGGGGCAATGAGCAGGTTGATGGATTGGCTGAGGTTCTTTAGTCTTGCTGTTTCAGACCTTTGGGTCCTGTTGGTCTGCCATCCAAATGAAACATCATCTTATGCCTAATATAGCACACTGACGTGTCATGATCTCTTCAGCTAGTGACTGCGACCTGTAACTAATCTCTGTAAATGAAATTCCATTGATACATGCATTTGTCTTCTGTGGTCGCACTCAAGGGAAGGTTAGCACCTTTTGTTGTGGTTTATATCTCGGCTGCAATATCTGGGTCTTTCATCTAACACTGATTTCAGCAAATGTTTGTTTCTCGCTTGTTATGGGCCAGTAGGTATATTCTTTCTCCGCACAGTGGCGTCTCTGGCTTAGGCGTTGCAGACGCGCTTCTTAGTGCCGGGTTTGATCCCAGCTGCGGACTGTTTATCTTGTGTTGATTTTGACAACGGTGCAAAGAGCTGACTATTCAGAGAGCTGGGGTTGGTTCTGCAGCATCCTATAAAGAATAGGCAGCTAACCTCACACTGGGGTCCTGAAACCCTGACAGCGATAGCAAGCATAACAATAACTGGAACTTGACAATTATATACATATGTCTACCTTGTTTCTCCCCCTTCTCTAGCCTGAGCCCCAGGAGTTTGAACTACAGCCATAACAGCAACTATGGCTACAGATATTAGCCAGCCAGCCGTGACTAGAGATGTGAGCTAGAGATTGCGGTATGATACTGGAGACAGCTGGTAACTGTCCCATCTTTGTGACCACCCGCATCAGGCAGGTCTCTCTCTCTGTGTCTGTGAGGATCTGCATCTGTTGAAGCTACCAGTTGAGACAGTCACAAGGATGACCATATATGATTCTGAGAAGCATGACTGTTACATTTATGTTTTGTGTTTTATGTTACCTGCCTATTTTCAAGCATATGTTTTGTCTCAATTTTTTATTTTTTAAATTACTACTAATTTGGTACAGTTATGAATTATTAGCATTCATGTTTATTTATGGTGAAGAGGATGATTTTATAGTTTTGTTAACTTGTAAGCTGAGGGTCTGATGTGTGTGACTGTGAGGTGGTTCTGAACTAACATGCATTTTCTTGTCAGATAGCTTTCTGGGGTTTTGGCTGGTAGCCAAATATCAGATCCTAGCTTCAACAAATCACATTTGGTACTAAAACCCTGTTTCTAGTTTCCTTACTCTGGTTATTAATTCAACCTTATTATTATTTCATTGTTTTGATTATAGCTATTGCTTAAAACCGTTTTCATGTTTCTTATAGTACAATCACTTAACATCCTTTTTTTTTCTTTTTCTAAATTCTGGCTATTTTTATAACCCTTTTTTAATTATTGCTTTTACCTTAGTTTCTGGCTTCCCATAATATAAATACCTGAACCCTATTTTCTAGCTAGTGCTTTAATTCTATTTACTAGTTTTCTTAATTCTAGTTATTGCTTTAACCTTAGTGTCTAGCTTCCCATATTATGATGTTTATCCCAATCTTCTGGTTTGACTAATTTTAATTATGACTCCAGCTTCTGTCCTTAGCCACTGTTCCTTTATATCATTGACATCCTTGCTGACTGTTTGTGTTCCGGTCACAAATTGCCTTCTAATAACAAGACTGGGGTGGTTGCAGTAGCACAATAACCAGCTTGGTTGCCCTGGGTTAACATCTAAAGCAGGGCGAATGTGCAGTGTGTACCTGGGCTCTCATGTCTGCCTGGCCTGAAATGACTGCCACAAAATGTTCTGAGAAGCAAAGGCAGCTGTTGTGATGCTGACCGCATCAGTCACCCTAAAGAGATTGGGGCTAACACAAAATATCTAACACACTTTAAGACTTGGGAAGTGGGACATTTAATTTTTGTTTGTTTGTTTAAACCTGTGGCAGAAAGTTGTTGATGGTGTGTCAGAACATAAATGTGTGAGCTGGTATGGTAATGCTCTGTGTCATATTGTAGCTGGCCATAGACAAGTTTTAAAGTTGAGATTTATTGCACCTTATTTTTTTGCGCACATCACACAAACTCTGTAGCTGCAGCAACATTTCCCAGGGGTCTTATTACAGCTTGCACTTGTAGTTTCTGGGAAATGAACCCACAACCTTCAGAGCATACAACAGAGTTTAATCACTTTACCCTGGAGATCCCAGACCCTATTGTAAATAGCATAGAAGCATCCTGTTAGTATGCTGGTAACATAATGACATAATTTCATATTTTTTCTAAAATAAATTCTGCAGTTGTGTTTACAATTGTGGAAGATAGATTGCTACTTTTTATTGTTAGCCGTTGTTTGTATTATGTGTGGATTTTATGTTGGAGATTAAACCTTATGTTCACTTGAGTTTGTTTTCCTGTTTGAGTTCTTTGGGGCATTCCGAATTTCACATCTTACACATTGTTCATGCTGAGAACGGTTACTATTATGGCATATGTTTAATATGTTTTATTTAAGCACAGCTGACCATTTTGCAATGATTTCGATTGGTTTGGAGCGCTGACCGTTCACGGTGGTTTAACATCTTTTTTTTTTCTTCAATTCATGACAACATCATTACTTTATTTCTGTGTCAGGGGTAGAACCATATCTCTTGCAGTATCCGTATAGTTTGTCACTGATTTGCTGACCGTATTTCGTGAAAAAAAACCCAGAAACACACCATATTGACTGTACCTGCAAATACCCTCACAGAGCAAGCTTTCTCGTAGACAACAGATTCACACCCTACACAGCAAATGTCACACAAATCCACACCACATGCAGCAAGTGTTCGCATGTACAACAAATTCACACCACACACACAGAAAATTGCAATTTATACAACTTGCTGACTTCTACAGATCACATATACACCAATACATAACAGACACACACAGCAAGTTGTCACAAGTTGTAGTTACACAACATACTACATTTCATTATGTCGTTACCAACATCATTGAATGCTGTATACATTTGCCAACCATATACAGTTAAATATTGACATTTATGTAAAGTAAAGAACCACCATCAAGTATATAATGGGTGATAGGTGCTTAAATTGAAAAAAGAAACCGTCACGTTCAACCAGCATCCCCAAAGGAGCTTTGGGTTATAATTGTGATTAGGTTTTTGTGCACCATATGAAATGGCTTAGCATTGCTGGCCACCAAGTAGCATTGAAAAGGTCTCCTGCAGTGTTGGTGCGATCAGAGGAGACAGACCCAAATACTGCAGATGGCAGGCCAGTGGATCACACAGATATTGTCAATGCTCTTGGAGAGATAGGATGTTCCGAGCATTTTAGAAGCAACATGTCAACATCACCGGTAAGAATACGAGAATGATCGGCACAGCCAAGCATGAGACGCACATGAAGGCTTGACAACTAGCCCATGACTGGCACTATTAACTGAGCACTTATGGACGTGTCTCGAGTGCTGTGAAGATAATCCGACTCATCTATCACGACCAGCAAAAAATTTATCTACCGGCAAGCTTGTGGGTGACCTGGCCGCCAACGATAGTGTATGATGCAAAACATATTTGTATAGGCTAATCAGAAGTAGGTGTTGACGTGAGCATAATGCCGGTCGCCTTTACGTCCCAGGACATTTTAGGCTGGAGTTAAGGTCGGGTTGAAGTAAATGTGCCTTAGTGTAGTTTTAAACGTTTGAGATTCAGATTGGCTAGCTTTTATGCCATTGTAGCACCATTTACAGATACTGCACAATAATGCCAGAAACAATATCTACAGATTTTGTCTAGGTTCCTGAACCCCATTGTGGTGAACAACAAGATTAGAACATGTCTTAGGAGTCGACTCAGTGGGTTGCATCCTTTAAATTTGGAGTACATCTGCCTGAAAGACAGGAACCAAGAGCTAAATAGATATGTGAAGGAGATGTGCACATACTATGCTAGGTATAAGGAGGAAAGATCAACTTGGGAAGGATTATATCAAGAGGAGAATCGGCATAGAACCAATACTGGATTTAATAGCTAGACAATAAATCAAATGGTTTGGCCATGTAACCAGATTGTCATTAGGCAGGGCACCACATGGAGCGATGTTTTACAGATACAACAGTAAAAGATCTAGAGGTCGACCACTCAGAAATGGACCGCTAAAATATCAGAGACACTGAGAAGTAGTTTATACGAAGTGAACAAAAGGACCCACCCTTTCAGTAGATTTTTCCTGCCCTCACGCCGTGAGGCATTCCAGGAGTAGAGGAATGAAGAAGAAGAGCTATCCAGTCACAGTTGTTAGTCGTTTCAGCATCACTGGACACGGCAACTCTTAACTTCCGTTCCTGTGCCTGAAAGAATCAGGCGTAATAAACGTCAGTCCCGGCAAATTCTTGAAGCTCTCGCACGCAGAGTAATGGAATTAGACAGCCATTAGATGTGCTAACACTAACAGGTCACCGTCACAAGAACGGAATTGCTCCTCACTGTTGATGCGAACAAGCAGTCACCAAAGCCGGTATCAGCACACGCAATACTGTATAAGTACATGCCATTCCGAACGCAATCTGCCACGCACATTTTTAGTGCAGGTCGTAATTTGTGCTGTGTTTTAATATCAGGAATGCAGTCAGTAACGTTTATGTCAGTACTGTATAAAGTGATGTCTCATATTAGCGCTTTATCAAAGATTATTCAGAGGGAACCTAATTACCGATTTATGAATTTGCATCATAGCGTACCGGATAGAGGGATATCATCAAGAGAGCTGAACCATGGCCAAACTTTAGTTACCTAACTAACTAAGTAACTAAAGTTTGGCCATGGCTGAACCAAGGATTGTGATCTGTGGAGACGCAAGAGCGCCTACGCCAGTTGGCAGGGCACACTATGATAGTGATGACTGTTAAAGTAGCAAGCTAGCCATACAGGCGTCGTACTCAATCTCTCATACATTTTCAGGTTTAGATAAAGGATCAACATCACTACACAAGGGTAGTAACCCATAAGTGCTCCGTTCTACTTCTGACGCAAGCCTGAGTCTGAAGAATCTCAGCGCAGTGCACAAACTTCGTATCACCAGCGATGATTCTGACATTCTTTTGGGTAGACTTTTAACTCCATATTTTGCCCTGGCAGGACCATTAGGCTACTCTTTTTTTGTTTTCGATTTTCAGCTACCGAGGGATTTTTTTACGTTCACATCAATACACACGGGCGTCTGATCCTACTACCCAGAGCAAATTACTAGAAGTCCACATGAAAAAATCCCAGCCTTCACCGGCGCTTGAATCTGGGACCTCCAGCCCTCGAGGTGGACGCCATGCCTTGTGACCGAGACCATGCAGCCCCCTGGTGTTATGGATATCGCAACCCTTTGGCCTTAATTCCATGATAGATACAATAAATCTGTGAGAAATGAGGCTTTTCTGCCTACCCCCGGGCGTGAACCCGCACCACGCAATGAGTTCGTCGCCGAGCAGAGGGTTTTAACTAACTGCGCTAGCGAGCCGGGCATACATATAATAAACAAACACTCGTAGAAAGAAGTAGAGAGATAAGACGGACACACTCTGATTATGTATCTCGCATACGTCTTTTCTTGCCTGAGATTCCAAATTCACACACTGTTACAGGGTTACTACATCTAGCGTCCTATCTTCTATCAGCCTTCGTTTAAATGGTCTTCCACTTGTTCCGTATGAGCGTTCCTGTAGCTACTGGGTGTGTTGCCAGACAATCTCTTTCAGTGGAAACAATCTTCTTTCACTTAGATAATGTTAGCCAGATAGGACTGGTGACTGTCACAGGCTGGGACACCACATCGCCTCTCTGTGTATATCTGAGGTGAGAAAAAATACATACACTGTATATACTATTTTACCAACATGTTTAGGTACAAAGAATAGTAACACTGTGGCCTCAATGTGTGTCGTAAGATGCTACTAAGAACATCTGCGGTGGGGTTGGTTAACTTTTGCTGAGGAGTGTAGCTAATCATGAATTAGTTAACAAAGTTTTTGTTATCACTTAGTCAAGGGCCTAATCTCTGCCTTAGAACGTTGGACGATTTCATGAGTCAGCTTTTATAGAATTGGTTAAAAGGCAGAATAATCGAATATAAGTTGAGAAATGCGGTCCCGGTAGAGAGAATATCAAACTTTAGTGACTGGCTTACTACAGAAAGAGTTAGCAAGCATGCTGTCCCGCGCTGGTTCTGCGGTCCAATTGTGAGGAAAATAACCCCTTAGCAAGCGTCGCATAAGACCATCGAAAAACACATATTAATTGGAATTATGAAGAAAAATAATTACTTGGGAGTCGCCACAACATGAGGGAACTATATTAGGTCGCGGCATTAGGAAGGTTGAGAGCATTAGGAAGGTTGAGAGCATTAGGAATATTGAGAGCATTAGGAAGGTTGAGAGCATTAGGAAGGTTGAGAGCATTAGGAAGTTTAAGAGCATTGGAAAGGTTAAAAGCCTTAGGAAGGTTAAGAGTATTAGGAAGATTGAGAGCATTAGGAAGTTTAAGAGCATTAGGAAGGTTGAGAGCATTAGGAAGGTTAAGAGCATTAGTAAGTTTGAGAGCATTAGGAAGGATGAGAGCATTAGAAAGGTTAAGAGCATTAGTAAGTTTAAGAGCATTAGGAAGGTTGAGAGCATTAGGAAGGTTGGGAGCATTAGGAAGGTTGAGAGCATTAGGAAGATTGAGAGCATTGGGAAGGTTAAGAGCATTGGGAAGGTTAAGAGCATTAGGAAGGTTGAGAGCATTAGGAAGATTGAGAGCATTAGGAAGTTTGAGAGCATTAGGAAGGTTAAGAGCATTAGGAAGTTTAAGAGCATTAGGAAGTTTAAGAGCATTAGGAAGTTTGAGAGCATTAGGAAGGTTGAGAGCATTAGGAAGGTTAAGAGCATTAGTAATTTTGAGAGCATTAGGAAGGTTAAGAGCATTAGGAAGGTTAAGAATATTAGGAAGTTTGAGAGCATTAAGAAGTTTGAGAGCATTAGGAAGGTTAAGAGCATAAGGAAGTTTGAGAGCATTAGGAAGGTTAAGAGCATTAGGAAGTTTGAGAGCATTATGAAGTTTGAGAGCCACTCTAAGCCACAGGCAAACAGTAAATTATAAAGTGCTCTGCCTGTTTAAAAAACTGACGAAATAGACAAAAAGATAAGAAAACAATATAAAGATGCGTTTTATCTTATTTCTGGCAAGCTATGTTTTCTTATCTTGGCATAAAACCTACAATCACTAGAGATTCGTTCATGATCTACCGGGGAGAGAAATACACGTGTATCCGTACAAGCGTTATAGATTTATATTAACTTGCACTCTGACGATATACCCGCTTGTTTATATACCGATTTAGCAGCTCACACAGAGGAACGTGATTAGAGTGCCTTGTGTTCATCTTCTTCTATGTCTGTTAGTGGAGAAAGACAGGATACAGAAAGCAGACGGGTAGGTGGGTATATGTGTTTTAGTTACATACACATGCCTAGCGCTGATACGTTTTAAAAACATGGGGGGAGGGGAGCATCGGCCACCGGGTCACCCATTGAATTGCCCTTAGATGAATTCGTTACCGGTTGGGAATGTATTTGGGTCTATCTCCTTTGATCGCATCAACGCCGCAGGATTCACTTTCAAGGCTTTTGGTGGCGTACGTCATTTTATATGGCTCATATAACCTGGTCACAATTATAACCATGCAGATTTGAAAGGGGGAAAAGGGGGAGGGAGGGTGGGGGGGGGTTTAAAGCCCTGCTTTCCTCATCTCACAAATTGTCTAGGCAAAGAGGGAGGAGAGGCGTTCTCTAAGGACCTTAACTTAGTGTAAAAGCGCGATAATAATAATGTCTTTTATCCACATTCTGCTTTGTGCTGCTATCCGTCGCAGGTTAACAGACGATCAGTATCCACATTTTCTTTATTTGTCCCCTACTTCTTTGTGTTTCTTCTTACTTGTTGTAAGCCCTCGTTTCTGGCATTGGATTCTTCCTCACTGTATGGTTCCACAGTTTTATTGTCTGTGTTAAATGAATTTAATTAAAGACGGTGTTCCAATTGTTCCTGTGATTATGTGTCGTTTCATAATGATATACTAGTGCAAAATAAATAAACTATTTGAAATTATATATATAATATATAACCAAATACTCAATTCTAATGCGGGCGAAAATGGACCTCTTAGTTACCTTATACAATTTGTTGTTGGAGAGGAGGAGTCTCTGAGACCCGCTCCTAATATTTTTTTTGGTCGGGGGGGGGGGGGGGGGGGTCCCCCTTCCCCACCACCCCTAGGTTCCAAGGTCTATGAACATGCGGACACAAGTGTGAGTACACAGTGATGGAGTGATTTCACCGTCTTAGAGGAAGGAATCTAGCAGCGACTGGCCAAACGGGTAAGAACTCCGGGCTGTCTTTAGGGAGACCGATTGTTAGACCTTCGGTGATAGGAAATATTTGTTTTCCTGTCTGAGACAAAAATAAAATCCCATTTGGCACATTTCTTCGTTTATCATCATCATCATCATCTCCCTATGACACATAGGCCTTCAACCAATTTGCCCCAACCATTTTGTAGAAATGTTCATGATTAGTTTAATTTTCGCAGCCAGATTTCTAACGGGCGACGTGACCACACTTCCTTAAACGCCTTACACACCTGTTACGACACGCATGGTAGATTTCAGCACTATTATTCTGCCCTTCCCTAATGGTCTGCAACCGCGCACCTGTTATGTTATTATCTATAAGAGTATATTTCTAGTCGTTTCTGGCAGGCGACCCAATCATTTTTAGCTGCTGTTGAAAAATCAAGAAGGAATATTTCCGTCAGCTGCCAGGCAGATAGCAGTTGCAAGAGGCAAATGTGTTTTTCATGTTCTACTGGGGTGCTTTTATGTTACAGATATTTAACCCCATGCTGGTGTTTTTAATACTTTTTAACTCTGTCTTCTTCTGTGATTCTTCTGCCAGAAAACCTACACCAGGAGGCCGGTAGCATTGATGAAAGCAATCGTGCTGTTCAAGTCTCCCAGTGCACCAAACAACTTTGTCTTCATTGAGGGTTGAACAGGCCAGATTTTCTCGCGATTGGCAGCAAACCGCCAGTGGCTTAGGAGAAAGGGATGAAAAGAATGGCAGACAGCCCCGCGTGTCGTCATTTTGTGATAAAATTGCAAAAATAATGCGTTTTTAAGATTTAAAAACAACATTTTTGAGCTAACAACACTTGAGGTAGAGACAGAAAAAAAAGACAGACAGACAGACAGACAGACAGACAGACAGACAGACAGACAGACAGACAGACAGACAGACAGACAGACAGACAGACAGACAGACAGACAGACAGACAGACAGACAGACAGACAGACAGACAGACAGACAGACAGACAGACAGACAGACAGACAGACAGACAGACAGACAGACAGACAGACAGACAGACAGAGGAGGGAGGGGTTTGACAAATTATTTTAAACAGTTTAATAACTTCGTTTGACAATTAATTAACGCAAAAAAGTCAATATCAGTATAACACGTATTGCAAGTTTTTAGCTTTATGAGCGTCTGCCCAGGACAATTTATAAATGGGCTTAGCACCCCCCCCCCCCTTTCCACACACACACACACACACACTTAAACAATTTGTAAATCGGTTAAGAAAACGTTGTTTTTGTGTTGGTTACTCTGGGACTCTGCAGGTTATTCTATAGACACTATAATTTGCTTGAAATCTTCTGTCATTAACAGATGTTGTATTTACCTTTATATCTAAATTACCATTATAACTATTTTTCGCTCATAATGTCTCTGTTAAACTTCAAACCAAAGCACAGTGTGTATTTTTTAGTGACTGTTTTAGAAATATTTCCTTTCCAATTTTTTTTGTAATCACTGTCTACGGAGTTAATGCACTGCTTTAGCGTCTTCTTATTTTGGGTACTGTTTTTCACATTATAGCTCTATTCACAATCGATTCTACTGATTAAATTGCTAACAGTATGAGGATGAAGTACTTAAATATAAGGAAATGATATCATAAAGTGTTAATAACAGTGATATTGTATGTAAACTAACGGTTACATGGCGCTCGAAACTTAATTACCGCACACATATAAATGGTTTCAAAAAGTCTACAGTCATTAACCATACACCCTATATAAAATTATTTTAAACTGAGCTCAATGAAATAGAGTCAAAGAAACACGCGCTTAAATATGTTGACAATAAACAAAGAAGTACAAACAGACATATAAATGACAGAAATACAAACATCACATAGATCAGTGGCTCTCAACCTTCCTAATGTCCCGACCCTTTAATACAGTTCCCTCATGTTGTGGCGACCCCCAAAGAATTTTTGTCCTTCATAACTTCAATGAAAATGTGTTTTCCGATGGCCTTAGGCGACCCTTGTGAAAGGGTCGTTCGACCGAAAAAAAAAGGGTCACGACTAGCAGGTTGAGAACCGATGATAGATGAACCCACTGAACACAAACTATGAAGGTCAACGAGGGGGAGAGGAACAACTACCCGCCCAAGAACCGTCGGACATTTCGGCCTGAGCCCTTGTCGAGTGGCACAGCAAGAAGATACCAGACTGGACTGCAGTCATCCATGTCTTCTTCACTTCCAAACAACACATGGGCACATAGGCAGGCAACAATCAGTTAGACCCGAGGTAGACATGCAGATAGACAAGAGGTAGACAAGCAGATAGACAAGAGGTAGACATGCAGATAGACAAGAGGTAGACAAGCAGATAGACAAGAGGTAGACAAGCAGATAGACAAGAGGTAGACAAGCAGATAGACAAGAGGTAGACATGCAGATAGACAAGAGGTAGACATGCTGATAGACAAGAGGTAGACAAGCAGATAGACAAGAGGTAGACAAGCAGATAGACAAGAGGTAGACAAGCAGATAGACAAGAGGTAGACATGCTGATAGACAAGAGGTAGACAAGCAGATAAACAAGAGGTAGACAAGCAGATAGACAAGAGGTAGACAAGCAGATAGACAAGAGGTAGACAAGCAGATAGACAAGAGGTAGACAAGCAGATAGACAAGAGGTAGACAAGCAGATAGACAAGAGGTAGATATGCAGATAGACAAGAGGTAGACAAGCAGATAGACAAGAGGTAGACAAGCAGATAGACAAGAGGTAGACATGCAGATAGACAAGAGGTAGACAAGCAGATAGACAAGAGGTAGACATGCTGATAGACAAGAGGTAGACATGCAGATAGACAAGAGGTAGACATGCTGATAGACCCGAGGCAGACATGCTGATAGAAATCAGGCAGATAAGAGACAGACATGTTGATATTCAAGAGGCAGACTGGATAAACAAGAGGCAGGCATATGACACGCTGTTGCTCCCAGCGGGAAAACATTCTTCCGGATTGTTTTCATTTCACACAGGTTTTCCACGGGCACTGGTATATGTTATCTGTCTTCATTTATCTAACCCGCTGTCACAAGGTATCAGAGGCGGCGACACCAAGAAAATATCTGCGGGAGAGGGCTCCCCAACCCTCCGCATTCTGGAGGCACATGATGAGGAAATCAGAAAATGGATTGAGAACAGAAGAAGGAAGGTGAGAAGATATGATGATGCAACAAAACACTGCCGTAGTACCAGTTATGTCAGTGTGCTAACTGGTCACGTCATTTCTCGACCTAGTTAAAGAATAACATTGGGAATAAACAATTAAAGAATAACGAAGAAAAGTTTTAAAAAAACCTAACAGTGCGAGATCACTCAACTACTTAGCTACTTGTCTGTTGTCTGTTTTCTGTCTACTTACCTGCCTGCCTACCTACCTAACTACATTCCCGTCTGTCTATTTGTCTGTCTACCTACCTACCTACCTACCTACCTACCTACCTACCTACCTACCTACCTACCTACCTACCTACCTACCTACCTATCTGTCTGCCTGCCTGTCTGTATACCTACGAATTTGTCTGTTTGTCTACCTGTCCGTCTCCACTGTACATGTCGTAACTGTCCTCTTCTCTGTATCTTCCTCTTTCTCACCCTCTCAAAATCTATTTTGCTTCTCTCTCTCTCTCTCTCTCTCTCTCTCTCTCTCTCTCTCTCTCTCTCTCTCTCTCTCTCTCTCTCTCTCTCCCCATCTCTCACCATTACCCGTCCGTTTCTTTACCGGGCCTAACAGTTTCTCACACTATTTACATAACGCGCGTGCCAGTACATACACGCACGACCCATCTCAAATTCTACCCCCCCCCCCCACCCCCTAATTTTTTGTTCCGACTTGTAACAACCACAGATACCAGCCATAGCTAATGCACTGACACCAGTACATCTCGGAATTACTTGTCCACGTTAATCATACAGTCAATCGTGCAATATCAGAAGGAAAAAAAAAAAAACGTGGGTCTTTGATGTAAACCTGTGACATATATTGAATGGCACTGAATTTTACTTGGTCATTCCTTCTTTGTCGCCTTCTTCGCATTCACCGGCTGTAAACTTTGGTTAAATATTCTGGTCCATCTCTGGAGTTGAGCTTGATTCCAGTACCTGAGAGTCGCGCGTACATCCGTTTTACATTCTGATATATCTGTATGCAGACTGTTGGTTCCTTGCCTCTCAAGCAGATGCACTATGACTTCGAAGGAAACTTCCCTAATTAGTTGACTCTTACGACATGCTTGCTGGGGAGGCAGTGGGTCTTTTCTTGTTTGAGACCACGGAACTGATACTGGAAGGTCTATAATAAAAGCATCAAATGTTCTACGTGTTAACAGCGTGAAACTGGTTCTTTACTTTCTCTCGCCCCAGAACCTCCGTATTCTATTTATTTGGACATGTTCACGTTTCTAGACCTATCTACACACTTACTCAGAGGAGGTCAGAGAAGTGTCACGTTGTACTGCTTTTTTTGTGTGTGTGTGGAAAAAAAGTCTCTCGTGAGACCTAGGCACATGCTGTGGGTAGGGGGGTTTTGGGTTAGGGCCAGTTCTAGATGTTCTGGGGTCGTTGAAAGCTGTGTCGTCGTTTAGTATAGAACACGCGACATCAGCGCTGATGTAATTGGAGGCAAGACAACGCGACACCCCTTGACGTAGAAGAGTCTGAGAAAGTATGAATGAAAAGTCAGTGTGTAAATGGGCCGATAAACGTGAACAGGACCAATAATTTTTTTTATTTTTTTTTTTTTATATTTTGTCAAGAAATTTGACCGATACTTCTGTAGATCAAGATCTCCGGGTGCTCAGGTCTTTTCACAAAGTATTTTTGTTTACACTTTTGTTTTCTTAACTGTTGTTTCTTACTTTCGAATCTGAATGTTTGACATTATGTTTTGTTCACTTGAAAAGTTTACGTGTTAAAACAGTTCGTTTATAAATAAACCATATGTGTAAAACGGGTGTGCACGCAAACCTCAGTTTCTGGAACGAGACTAAAAGTCCAGAAGTGGAAGAACGACGAGAACTTTCTGCCGGATGGTACAGCCGATGAATGCGAAGAAGAATTATAGACCAGGGATTCCGAATGCAACTGAGGTGACCATTAAATTAACAAAACTATTTATTGTTCATTTCAAGATCATCTTTATCGCACACCGGACATAACCATAATTGCTCCGATATACTCCTGAGTATGTCTCAAAGTGTTTTAAGGCTAACAACTCTCTTTCTGTTATAGATGATTATCGACGGGTTGCCAATCTCGAAAAAAAAAATATTGTGCATTCTTTTCATCTCGTACCACCTGAAAAAAAAAAAAAGCTGCATTTCCCAGACTTTGCTGTTTCTCTGGGATGATACTGTAGTTTAAGTTCCCCCCCCTCTCCCCTGTCCAGGATTATAATTCGCGGGATAAACACCACAGGGACAAGAATCCTATCTATACTGGAATTCCCCCCCCCCCCCCTTTACGCTCACCGTTTGTGAACCAACCCGAAGTTGGCTATGATACTTACACTGTGTTGACAAGTATTGCCGCCTGTGAAAGCCCTGGGAGCGGTTGTGGATGCACGTGTTTCTTCTGTCTTAATGATTCCACTTTGAACTTGCTGGTTCCGTTGACCTCGACCCCTGCAGTGTCACGCTCCATGTATTCTGCGTATTTCTGCAAGAATGCAAGAAATTATAGTAACAAGAACCAGGTTAATGGGGTTTTCTGTCTGTCTGCGTCAGGACTGTCTGACTGATGTTAAGATACCACATAATAGTGTCCATGCGTTCACAAGACAGACAGACAGACCGACCGACCGACCGACCGACCGACCGACCGACCGACCGACCGACCGACCGACCGACCGACCGACCGACCGACCGACCGACCGACCGACCGACCGACCGACCGACCGACCGACCGACCGACCGACCGACCGACCGACCGACCGACCGACCGACCGACCGACCGACCGACCGACCGACCGACCCGACCGACCGACCGACCGACCGACCGACCGACCGACCGACCGACCGACCGACCGAACCGACCGACCGACCGACCGACCGACCGACCGACCGACCGACCGACCGACCGACCGACCGACCGACCGACCGACCGACCGACCGACCGACCGACCGACCGACCGACCGACCGACCGACCGACCGACCGACCGACCGACCGACCGACCGACCGACCGACCGACCGACCGACCGACCGACCGACCGACCGACCGACCGACCGACCGACCGACAGACCGACAGACAGACAGACAGACAGACAGATAGATTAGATATAGATAGATAGATAGATAGATAGATAGATAGATAGATAGATAGATAGATAGATAGATAGATAGATAGATAGATAGATAGATAGATAGATAGATAGATAGATAGATAGATAGATAGATAGATAGATAGATAGATAGATAGATAGATAGATAGATAGATAGATAGATAGATAGATAGATTTCCACGGTTTGGTTCTAAGGCCCCCTTGTGGAGAGAAACAGACCAAATACCACCCCCACCCCCACTCTCTACAAGCATAGCATGAAGTGTGACTACGGAGGAATTTGATTTGATCTGATTTGATTCAAGAACCGACATCACAGCACTCAGGGCATTCCCATAAGCGCTCCGTCCCCATCTTCAGCAGCCAGGGAAGAGTTCCGATACTAATGGTGCCAGTAGCTTTCTGATTAAACGTCCGTCTTTCCTTTCCTCTGAGCCTTGAACTTCTGCCAGAACCTCTCGTCACCCCCAACTGCATCAATCTCACCAAACTGTGGTGATCCATCTGCTCCTCCGCATTGTACACACTCTCCCACAAGGCACTAACCACGTCTGCCCTATCATGTAGCAGTATACATTCCAACCGACAAACAGACAGCAAGATTTTCTTGTTTATAAAGACATATACAATCCAACCGACAAACAGACAGCAATATTTTCTCATTTACATAAACATATAAATGATTGTTTCGTTTACGTACCTGGAATTCAGGAGTAGAGAACATTTTCATTGTATGCTGAGGATCATTGCCAGTTTGTTTAGTTGTATTAATGTATGTCAAACTTTTGCCGGTTATGTAAACATTATTTTGGCGATTTTTGTTTTGTGGAGCCAACAAGGAATCTTCACTAGCGGCATTATGAGGTTTTTTGCAGCAGAAAGACCAGCAGTCACAGATGGGTTTCCTCTGTCTATGTTGCCTGTGGACATACCATGATGTTAGAGTGGACAGCACGCCCATGATTATCAGACCAAGTCCGAATACCTCCAGAACCACAGGGTAAGGGGTGGCTCGCTTCAGTGCGTACACAACCATTACGATACCGATGTTTAGGAAGAGAAGACCTGTCAGTGCGAAGTACGACCACAGTTCTTCGCGTATGTTTTCGGCAATGCCGCGGCTACAACTGGAACCCATGAAGATGTTCACTTTCGAGGGTGTGGTGTGTTTTCTCCCCCAGCTGGCGTGTGGGGCTGATCAGCTTCTACTGAATGTTATAAGTTCAGGCTGGTCAGTGTCCGCGCAGAAGCTTCCACTACATGAACGCTGTACACAGGTCATCCAGTCATGAGTTAGCCATAGAGACTGAGAATATCAAGAGAGATATACATTAGACAAACTATTTGTTTTGGCAGTAATAGTGTTAAAGGAGGAGGAGTATCGTAAAAGAAGGATTAACAGTAGTAGTAGTAGTAGTAGTAGTGGTGGTGGTGGTGGTGGTGGTTGTAGTGGTGGTGGTAGTATTAGTAGTAGCAGTAGCGGGAGCAGTAGCAGCAGCAGCAGCAGCAGCAGTAGAAGTAGTAGTAGTAGTAGTAGTAGTAGTAGTAGTAGTAGTAGTAGTAGTAGTAGTAGTAGTAGTAGTAGTAGTAGTAGTAGTAGTAGTAGTAGTAGTAGTAGAAGTAGTAGGAGAAGGAGGAGGATGATGAAGAGGAGGATGGTGATGAGGAGTAGTAGTGAAAGTGGTGGTGGTAGAAAAAGAAAAAGAAAAATAAGAAGAAGAAGAAAAAGAAGAAGAAAGAAAGAAAGAAAAAAGACAGAAAGAAAGATAACACAGACAGACAGACAGACAGACAGACAGAAGAATCTCTACTTCTTCTTTCATACTCTCAACCATGACAGTCAATTTTCTCCCTCAACACCCCCCCCCCCCCTTTTTTTCCCCCATATACCTCAAAGACACGTATGCACAATGGAAGCGATCACAACAAATCGCCAAGGGAACTATATTCTAACGCGGTTGTTCACAGCCTATCAACGAACTCATTACACAACAGACAATTGCACCATTTGTAGCTTTGAGGCAGCAAATAGTCTGTTAGTGTCAACAGACAACACAGAACACAATCTGTGTTACTAGGATGGATAAACCAATCAATTTGCGCCACTGAATATGTGTTGCAGGGACGGAGTTGAAAAATTTGATATTTCGGGGAAACTTTCACAGCAAAAATGAACGATTCTTTGAATTATTTTCATATCGATTTGTGTGTCGGGTGGGGGAGGGGAGCTATTCGAGGTTTGTTTAAGAACGTAATTAACCTCATGTTTAGGTGCCCAATTAACCTTTGTTTAAGTGCACAATGAACCCTTGTTTAAGTGCGTAATCGATCATTTTGAAGTGCGTATTTAACCCGTTTGACCCGTTTTTAAGTAATCACATACACATACGTGAACACACTCACGAGATCCATTTCCACCTCTTTAGGTGTATTGGCTAGACTTATAGTTTACATGGGTAGTTCACCAATACTGGGCTAGGTTCTGGCACTCAGCTCTTTCCTGTGGCTCCCAGCAGCTGTCAGCATGCCACAGCGACCACCCCCTGGTAACAACTTTGAAGGGCTGGCTAAACCAAGAGAGGGTAGCCGACATGGTTCTAGACCACTCGGTGGTTGGAATATACCTACCCTGCACGCAAAGACTGAACTTGGCGGATTGTTCGGATAGAACCTCTTATGGTTCAATGGATAATAAAAGGTGAAAGCTTCGAGCAGAGTGGCTAGCTTTACTGAAAAGGTCACGGGTGGTGAGCATAATTTTGATTTTTTTCTATGCCGACGTGGTGGGTAATGAACAGGCAGACAGATTGGCTGGATTCGCACTACTGGGTGGTGAATTGATACATGACCAGGCAGATGTGGTCTAGGCCCTTTGGGAACAAGCAACGGAATCAGTAGAAAAAAAAGATTGTTATCGCGTGGAGAGAATTAGTGGGTGTAACTAGAGTGTCTAGCTGGCTCATTACACTCAGAGGAAAGGAAAGACGGACTTTTAACCAGATTGTGACCGGTACCATCAGTATTGGAACTCTGCGCTGGCTGCTGAAGATGAGGACGAAGCATGCATGCCCCGAGTGCTGTGATGTCAATTCTTGACTCAACTCAACTGAATAATAAAGCGATTACCAGCAGGCTCTGTGGAGAGCTTCGAGTAAGGCAGGGCACTTAAGATGCCCTTGGTTATCTACTGTATCTAGATCCATTTCCAATCGTCTCGACATTGTTCTGTCATTGGATCAAGATGGACACAGGCGAGAGAGAGAGAGAGAGAGAGAGAGAGAGAGAGAGAGAGAAGAGAGAGAGAGAGAGAGAGAGAGAGAGAGAGAGAGAGAGAGAGAGAGAGAGAAAGAGAGAGAGGACGAATCGTGCAACTCTTTCTCGCTTAAATCAAATTCGTGTGCAAATCACTTTCATTAAATTTTTGGAAGAAAAGTGGTGACAATCACTCGTAAAGGACGAACAACATAGTTTACAGACCAATCTGCACTTGGTAGGTGATGTTGTCAACATACCGCCAGCCGAATTTACTTCCCGAAACTTTTACCTGGTACCCATTGCAAGCCGGGTCGACATGAAAGCCAAGGCTATGTTTGAAAACAAACCAAAATGGGAACTTGAACCCTCGACCTTCTGGCCCACAGGCGAACATACAGCCGCTACTCCATGGGGTCTCATATATATATATATATATATATATATATATATATATATATATATATATATATATATATATATGTGTGTGTGTGTGTGTGTGTGTGTGTGTGTGTTTGAGTGTGTGTGTGTGTGAGTGTGTGTGTGTTTGTTTATACAACGAATTAACATCATGCCCCAAGGGTGGTAACCCATAAGTGCTCCGTTCTACTTTTAACTCAAACCTGAGTCCGAAAAATCTCAGCTTATTGCACGAATCCCGTAGCACCGGCGAGGAGCCTAAAATACTTTGGGTACATTTTTAACTCACAATTATTGCCCGGGCAGTGCCACGAGGCTACACTTTACGATTTCCAACTGCCAAGGGATTTTTTTAAGTTCGCAAAATTGCACACGGGCGTCCGGTTTTACTGCCCAGAGACCAGAGAAAAACTACTAAAAGTTCACGTAAATAAATCCCAGCTTTCACCGGGGCTTGTACCCGGGACCTCCAGCACTCAGGACAGATGCCATGCATGGAGACCACTCAGCTCCCCAGCATGCGTGTGTGTGTGTGTGTGTGTGTGTGAGAGAGAGAGAGAGAGAGATAGAGAGAGAGAGAGAGAGAGAGTGTGTGTGTGTGTGATTTGGTGAATGGCAGGTAAATATAAATTTAACAAAAAGATTGAAATAATGTATAAACAAATACTCAAGAAGAGAATCCATAAGCCTGGCTGGAATGTAAAGGTGGCGTTTAGTCATGTTAAACCTGTCTGCAATCCTTTTATCCGCTGTCTCCATCCATGTAATACGACTTGTGACATCTGCTCCTATGAATCCATCTCAGTACATGTATCAGGCATGCCCCGCTTGCAATTATCTGTAAATATTCTTCTTCTTCTTTTGCGTTCACCAGCAGTAAACTCTGGCGGAAAGTTCTGGTTGTTCATTACTTCTAGACTTCAGTCCTGTTCCAGAACCTGAGTGTTGCACGTGCACCCGTTTTACAGAAATGCGTCATTTGTATGCAGACTGTTGGTTCATTGCCTCTCAGTCAATTGCACTCAGACTTCGAAGGAAGCTCCAAATTAGTCGACTCTTACGACATGCTTTTGGGTGGTAGGCAGTGGGTCTATTCTTATTTTCCTATAACAGGGCCCCGGGACCCACACGGGGAGTATATGTAAATAGTAACAGAGACCCACGGCCGACTCTTTATAAATAGAGATGGTCGTAAGGAGGTCGACCCCGGCATCTTCAACCCATTTGTAATTCACATTATGCAGCTCTGTTATTCTCAATCCGTTGAGCGTTGCCTAGCTACTGGTCCTCGAAGGTCAAGCAGTGAGATAATTGTCCCGACATCTATTCTTCCCAACACCTCCAAGTTTAGAATCTTGTCTCGACACCTAATCTCAAGTATTCTTCGCAGACGTGAAAGCTGGCTAGCCGTTTCTCCTGGTTTAGGTCAGATGGCCAAGTTTTTTTTTTTTTACTGCTATGCAAAATTAGGCGCGCCCGGTCGAACGATTAGGAAAGTTGGCTCTCATGCAAGACACCTGGGTTCGAATCCGCATAAAGTCTGAGACAAACGGAGGCGGTAATGGCAGTTTGTTTTAAAGGCAGATTACATAAGTGCTAATGACGCAGGCTTTCTACCAACAACTACCTTTATTATACAACTTTTGTGGAGTAGCAGGTGGCATCTTTGAGCCTGAGGATTTACAGCCGCATGGCTAGTGCTGTCGCCACGACTGTGCAGGTAAAGACTTTTTTTTCTATCCCTACAGAACAAATCCGCAGCTTTACCAAAGATTTGAACCCGAGTCTCCCACTTGAGAACCCAGCGATCCAACCGTTCGGCCAGCCGCTGCTATGCTTTATAAACAAGGCATTTTTATTGTTTTACTTAGATAGAAAACGTTCGTATATGTGTGTGTGTGCATATATATATATATATATATATATATATATATATATATATATATATATATATATATATATATATACAGACACAAACACACATATACATATATGTTTTATTATTTGTATTGATTTCTATATGCTCCCTCCTTCTCTCTCTCCGTCTATATCTCTCTATATGAACAAATATTTGTGTGAATAACTATTACAGATTCTAAAACGCTCTCTCTCTCTCTCTCTCTCTCTCTCTCTCTTGCCTCATCGGTGTGCATATTGAATGCCAAATACGTACACATTATGGGAGAACCAAACAGCCATGAAATCTCCAGGGACGCGATACAACGTCACCAGGCTTTCTAGAGCCGACAACGGTTTCTGTTTGCTATCCCCTGTACAGGCGACATTATTATCGACAATACTCGACTAGAGGTGTGGTCAGATTTGGCTGCTGCTGAATTCCCGCGATGGCATATCTGACATGAAAATCTGGCCGCGATCCCTCTACGCAAGTGTTGTTATTAATTCTTTTTGAATTTCCGCTTTAAAACTGTTTTGACTATGTTTGAGAAAGGTCGTGAACAATGT